AGTTTGGACTGCAGAGCCCCTGGTGGGGGGATGGGGGAGGGGGTACTGGGGTTGGAGAAGGGGGAGTCACTGGAAGTGGGGAGAGTGAGGGCAGTGGGCCTGGCCTGGGCTTCTTGGGGGCAGAACCCGAGGCTATGACGATCTAAGGACAGTGACCAGCACTGAAGAAGGTTCTAAGTCCCAAGAGAGATGAGTGCAGTGGGTCCTGGCCCCTGAGCACTGTGAGCAGGTGGTTTTGAAAAGATCAAAGAGGCATAGTCTGCGATCAGTGCCCCGCCCTCACCGAGGCTTCATCAGGTGGGCTTGTGGTGCCACCAGGTGGCAGCAGAGCGCCAGTGAGTGGCCGGCCAGGTGTGACTTGGCACAAGCTCTAACCCAGGAGCTGGGATCTGGGAGGCAGCAGCCACTTCTAAATTCAAGGCAGGTGGAGCTGGGCCGAAGGGGTCATGGGTCAGGGAGCCTCCTTCACACCGTGTGGCTAAACTTACTCTGTACCAGATACTGTGTCAACACGGGGTGAGCATGACCTCTTTGCACTCACGCCGCTAACCCCAGGAGTCCATGCTTTTATGAAACGCCCTACTTTTTAGGTGTCGGCAATGAGGCCCCAAGAGATTTATGATTTGCCCAAAGTGACACAGATAGAAGGAAGAGATGATGTGCAGGCGGGTGGGACTCTAGAAGTGTGCAGGGTGAGGGCAGGTAGGGCCTGGCCTGGGTTGGTCCTAGAATAGAGCCTGGGTCCCAGGCCAGGCCAAGGACAGTGACTAGGAGCCGAGTCAAAGGGAACTTGGGGGGCACTTCCAGGAAACAGGATGTGTTAGAGTCTTCAGGCTGAGGTTCCTTGGGAACCCTATTCGAAGAAGCCACACCAGCCAATCCTGGGCACCTAGCCCTGACAGGACTGGGTACCCCAGAAGCTGCGAACCACTCCAAGGCCCAAAGAGATGCCTTGTACAGCCTGACCGGGACTTCCTTGCTGAAGTCCAAAGAGCAGAGGCCCTGGAGAGTATGTCCCAGACAGGCCACAGTGTCCCCAGTGTGCTGGGTCTGGTCCTGTACCCCCCTCTGGGGGAAAGCGGGTCATGCCAGCTGCTCTGCGGTCTCCATGCTGGAACACTGCCCGGGCACTCAAGGCCCCTGAGTGAGCAGCCGGCACCAGGGGAATGGACTGAGTCTGGAAGCTTCCCCTTCCCCTGAGACCCAGGTCAGCAGCTCCTTCCTCATGGGTCTCGCTGCCAGTCATCCAGGGCCCCAGCTGTAAGGCCCAGGTTCACACAAACCTGTGGTTTTGGGCTCGAACAGTACCTGCCACGGGCTTTGGTGAGAGTTACTGGGCCTTGCCCCAAGGCTCAGCTTGAAAATGCTTTCCCCAAATCCTTGGACACCAAGAGCTTGTTCCCTTCCAGATCTTTGAGCAAAATCTCCTGAATCAGCCTCAGTCCCGGGAACCCAGGCCGTGTCATGTTCTGTTATTCTGCCTCAGGGCCTTTGCACTGCTGCTTCTCTCCGTCTGGAATCTCCCTCTGTCTTCCTATGGCTGACTCCTCCTCATGTAGGTCTCAATTCCCAATGTACATTTCCCCTTCTTCCCAGAAAGGCTTTCCCTGTCTCCCCTAACAGGAGAGACACCCCTCTTTCTGTCCTGCCTCCCCCTTGCCGTTTCCGGCGATGATTGCCCAGGGTGCTGTAGCTGAGTATGTCCTCACACAGGACAATCCCAAACGTTCCCTGGAAACCCACAGGATTTGGCAGGCGTGGGGCCCTCCTATGTTAGGAGGAAGGAGGACGGAGCGGCCATTTAGTCTAAGTGCTCAGGGGTGAGACGGCTCAGGCTGCCTGGTGCTGGCGGTGTTTTGTCTGGTTTGTGGAGAGCCGGTGAGCAGAGGCGGCTGTCTGTCCCACGGAAAGGCTTCTGGCATCGGCACGTTTGATAATCGGGGTAGAACGTAGTGTCCCCGGTTCAATCAGCCCTGCTTTCCGTTAGATCTGCCTTCAAAGAGACAGTTTTATCTGCTTCTCCCCGGGGAGGGGGGGACAGTTATCGCTGAGACCATCACAAAGAAACCAGGGAGCTCAGCTTAGGAAGTTTTAGGATCTTCTATGTCCTCTTCTGGGCCAGGAGGGGGTGGGCCCAGGCGGTCTCTAGGTCTAAGCCTGCAGGCTCTTCAACCCTTGGAGGCTCCATGAGAGAGGATGTGAGGGACCCCGTTCCATTGACATGTGAGATAAATAAATACATCTCTTTAGTAAAAAATTTATCTAGTGCAGTGAAAGGGACATATTTATACTAGTAAATGAGCCACGGTTCATCATTTTCAGAGTACTAAAATTATTGTTTTGTTTTGTTTTTTTCTGAAATTCAAATGCAACTAGCATCCTGTATTTTAACCTGCGACCCTACAGAGGAGCTACCAGCGTTGGAAATAAGTGGCTTCCCCAGGACGAATCCCGGGGCTGAGGGAAACAGAAGCCATAGTGAGCCCTGACATTTTGAGGGGAGGAATGAAGTTGGTTTCTTTCACGCCAATTAAGCAATCACAGATGACCCCCTCAGAAATCCAAACTCGTGACTAACATGGGGCTCAGGACCCGGGGTGGGCGCGGGGGCGGGCGCGGGGGGGGGGGGTAGGAGAGGAGAAGCAGCCCTCACACGCGGGCAGCTGCAGTCCGAGGACGGCCCCATCCAGAAGGTAAGAGCATGGCCTTCTCAGGCACAGGGGGGGCTGTTCCCGCAGAGCAGGGCCGGCAGCCTGGGGACCCCCACGCTCCCTCATCGCCTCCCTGATGCTTGGCCACCACAGAATTCCTCCTCCCTGTCTGTAATTCTCCAACTTCTGAAGTTTCACAAAGTCTCCTCTCTGGAGGCTGCCAAGCAGCAGAGCCGAGGCCCCAGGAGAGCCCACTGGGAGCCGCAGCGTCTGTCACTGGAGGGGCTGCTTCTCCTGGGGGCACTGCAGTCCCCACACCTTCCCCCCGGCTGTCCCCGCGCCTCCCCCCCGGCTGTCCCCACCTTCCCCCCGGCTGTCCCCACACCTTCCCCACGGCTGTCCCCACACCTCCCCACGGCTGTCCCCGCGCCTCCCCCCGGCTGTCCCCACACCTCCCCACGGCTGTCCCCGCGCCTCCCCCCGGCTGTCCACACCTTCCCCACGGCTGTCCCCACACCTCCCCACGGCTGTCCCCGCGCCTCCCCCCGGCTGTCCCCACCTTCCCCACGGCTGTCCCCACCTTCCCCCCGGCTGTCCCCACACCTTCCCCACGGCTGTCCCCACCTTCCCCACGGCTGTCCCCACACCTTCCCCACGGCTGTCCCCACCTTCCCCACGGCTGTCCCCACCTTCCCCACGGCTGTCCCCACCTTCCCCACGGCTGTCCCCACCTTCCCCACGGCTGTCCCCGCGCCTCCCCCCCGGCTGTCCCCACACCTCCCCACGGCTGTCCCCGCGCCTCCCCCACGGCTGTCCCCGCGCCTCCCCCCCGGCTGTCCCCACACCTTCCCCACGGCTGTCCCTGCGCCTCCCCCCCGGCTGTCCCCACACCTCCCCACGGCTGTCCCCACCTTCCCCACGGCTGTCCCCACCTTCCCCACGGCTGTCCCCACCTTCCCCACGGCTGTCCCTACACCTCCCCCCTGGCTGTCCCCACACCTTCCTCATGGCTCGGAACTGGAGGCAGAGATCCACCCAAACAAGCTGACCCAGGATGAATGGAGAGCCGTGTCTGTGATTTTGAACACGGGCTCATCCCTACCTCACTCCCCTGAGCTGATCAGCGAGTTCAGCTGTAATTTCTCCTTTACCACTGGGAAGGGCTCATTATACAGGCAATGCCCCCATGGAAGGGGTCATGTGGTGGATTCCCCACTCTGCCTCCCACTTCTCTCCTGCTGTTCCGAACAAGCTCATTAATATAATTCTGTGGGGACCAGACCTTTGAAATTCATGAGAACAATAAGAGGAGAGAAAAATACATAATGGCAAGGGGAGAAGAGAAACCGCTGTTGGGTTTTAACAAGCGCACTTTAATCACGCCCACTGCGGTTCTGGAGCTTTTTGTCTGTTTGTATTATAGATTAAACTTTGTCTGTTTGTATTATAGATTAAATTTGTATTATAGATTAAATGCTAGTTGCATTTGAATTTCAGAAAAAACAATACTCTAAAAATGATTAACTGTGGCTCATTTATTAGTATAAATACTTCCCTTTCACTGCACGAGATATATTTTTTATTAAAGAGATTATATTTATTTACCTAAAATTTCTATGGAGTGGAACCCCTCACATACACAGGCATCACACACACACACACACACACACACACACACACACACACACACACACACACTTTAAATCCCAGTCATGGGACTTGAACAAGGGAGAGGCAGAAATTGACTTCAGCAGGAGGGACAAGAAATAATCATGAAAGACAGGCTGTGGGCTTCTTCAGCCCGTTTTGTGGGGTGAATGTGGACCAGGCACCTGGAGGGGTGGTTTTCTTTGTTGGAAAGTGGGCTGGGAGGGTGCTGTCCGTGGCCACACACATTAGGCCGTCATAGCCTCCCATTTGTCCAAGGATTGATATAAAATTATATCAATTCCTCGGGCCAAGGAAAGGGAATAATAGAAATGTGTTTTGCTTGTTTCTCTACAGTGTGTTATATAGAGTCAAACTGAAGGCAAATGAAGAACACCCCTCTCCCCCCCGCTCCAAAAAAAATAGTAATTTAATTTGAAAGCATTTTGCTTTTGTTTCTTCTTTGAGCTTAATTTCCAGTTGGTGGAAGGAAGGCGTTAGGAACCTGAGCCATTTCCACTAGGCAGCACGGACAGAGGCAGGCTCACATTCTCTCACAAAGAGCCCAGGTCCCACTGGCTCCCGGTCCCCTAGCGGGAGTGTCGGTGGGGTCTTTGTGAGAGGAGGAGGAGGATGCTCTGGATGTGTTACATGACGCCTGTGTGCCTCTGCTGTTAGGTTGTCCTGTGGTCCCCAGGGAAGATGCCTAGTGAAGAGGCCCGGAGTGCTTACGGGTACCCCAGGAGAGGGCACGGCCACCCCTACATCACAGCTAACGAGTAAGTACAAAACGTTGGCTAGCACGGCTTCTGAGTTCCCCTGGCACTGCCTGTCCATGAATCTCTTCAGTGCTTATTTCTCCCGAGAGTAAAAGGGTGGCAATGAAGGGGCTCACACTAGCTCTCTGAGGCCGAATGGGCAAGGTGGCAGGAATGGTACAAAGTTGGATCTGGCCATTTTGGCCTGCATTCTGGGCTCTTCGGCCTTTGCTGGGGGTTCCCAGGCTGAACAACATGTCTGGAAGTGAGTCATCTCTTCCCTCGAGCCATGTTCTGTCCACGCCTCTCTGGGTCAGGGAGGTGGTCTGCAGACAGAACAAAGGTGAGTTGCCACAGAGCAAGTGAGGACGAAGGGCAGTTCGTGATTCCACCTGTGGCTTCTCCAGGGCGGACCTGGCGGGCAGACCCTTCGCGTCATGACTATCCTCGGGAAAGGCGTTTGGTGTTTTGAACACGTGAAGCGTTTCTGAGAGCTAAGCATTGTATAACCTGCCCAAGATTCTATTCTTCCCTTGAAAAAAGTCTTGTGATCTCGTGGGAGAGTTAAGCACGAGGACGATTTCACAAGGGCAAGTGCTGTCATGGGAACTCGGGCTGCAGGGGTGCTGGGCGAGGCTGGGTGAGGTGGCAGGAGGGGCGCCCGCCCTCGGAGGGGGCATTCCCACAGGACAGGCCAGGAACCGTCTCCTCAGAGGCCTGTGGCAGCTTCCTGCGAGCTGGCAGGCCTTGGGAAAGAGCTGTTGACAAATCTCTCCTAGACTGAATTAGCAGGCTCAGCCAGACAGTGTGGGCACATCTCCCCAAGGCCCCGTGGGGTTTCCTAATGACCCTCCTGGTCATTGGGGTGAGGTGGGCAAGTGTCTGGAAAATTGTCCCCAGAGCCACAGGACACTCTCTGGGGGCCACACTGCACATGGTATTAAGTAGGATGCTGCTTCAGCTTCTGCATGATGACTCAACAGACCCCATCGCTGTGAGGCCTCAGGAGAGGGGTTCTCCCAGGTGCGAGGGCACAAGTCACAGGAGCTTGAAGAGATGAGGTGTCCTAGGTGCTGCCACTCCAGAGGCTGATGGGGGCGGGGGTGGAGGAGGGCAGGATCTGCACTTTCGCACACCTCAGGTGACCCCTTTACGGATTGGGGTGACACGCTGAGGCTCAGCCCAGCTGGGGGTGGCTTTTCCTGGGGTGTGCGGCATAGGCTGGTGACTCCGCTCTCCGTCAGTCCCTGGGGGTGTGAGTGCAACGTGACTGTGTGCAAAGGGCGGGAACAGAGCTCGCTCTGTGCCACGGTGCCCGGGCTTAGCCGCTGACGTGGCGGTGGGTTCGGCTGCCTTGGTCACAGGGCTGCCGCTGGCTCCACGGGGCAGTTTCATTCCAGGAAGGGGGTCGGGCAGAGCACCGGGCCAGGCGAGGGGGGCTGGGTCTGCCCCAATTCTAGACGTGCGCGCGGCGTGTATGGGACCAGTCGCTGTGAAAGCTGGCCCTGCCACTTACCTGCGTGCAGCCTGAGGCACGTTACCCGCCTGAAGTCTTGGGGCATCAGCTGCAAAATGAACATCCTACCTACCTCAGAGGTTGCCGTGAAGGTGGACTAAAAGCCCATATGTGGGGGGCCTGGCACAGACTGGTGCTCAGGGAGTAGCCCCTAAGGTGGTGGAGCTGCTGATGAGTTGTGGAGGGTTTCGGCTGCATGATCTATGAAGTCGGGGGCTGGCCTGCAGCATCGGTCAGAGCCATATCCCGCCCTGGCTTCCTTCTGGGAGGTGGGCCTTGGCCCCTCCGCGGATTTGAGGAGGCGGTGGCACAGCAGGTGGCGCTGGGCGAAGGCCTCTCAGTCAGGCCCTGCTTCTCCTGCAGCGGCTCCGTCTCCTACACCGCCCAGAGCCTTTCTTCAGCAGGCCGCAGGTAAACGGTGACACTCTCCATTTTGTTCCGTTGTCCATGCTGTGAGGTGGAAAGGCAGGCAGGAGCTAGCGAATTGGCAATGTTGTGCAGAGGAAGCAGAGCCCAGGGCCTGGAGAGGGACCCTGGACACGGGGCCCAGAAGGCTGGCCTGGCTCCCGCCCCTGCTCAGCAAATCTGCAGCTGGGATGCTCCTCCCAGGGCTGGACTGTGTTTGGGGTAATCCCATCCGGCCAGCTGAGAGCCACTTACCAAGCAGCTACAGAGGGCCTGGCGCCAGGGGGCACCTGGCCTCTCTGAGTTGGCAGCCAGACCGGCCGAGAGGTCAGACCTCTCATCTCAGCTGCTCCAGGGTCTACGCCAGCTCCGTTCTGAGATGCCCCTTCTAGTTCCCTGGGTGAGGTCGGAGGAAGCAGAGAGCACCAGCCCTGGGCTCCCGGAACAGGTGGAGGCCGGACAGCAGCTTGCCTCGCTGAGCAAGCACACAGGACACCTGTCCTGGCTGGGCTGGGCTCTGGCATCCCGGTGACACGTAGTCTCCTGGACCCCTCCGTCCTACAGGTCCTGCTTCCATCCCTTCCCCAGAATGCTCCGGTTCCAGGCGCCCAGGGGCCGGTTTCTGACTCTCTTTTTCTCTTTATGAACTCTCCCATCCCAAACCCAAACCTGCGCTGTGGTACGTTGCTGATCCCTACATTCCCACTAGAGTGCCAATGACTCACAAGAGGATAAAGTCACATTTTGTCAAAAATCCACATAATTTTAGACAGTTTAGGAAGACATTAAATTATTCATTCATTTTTTTTTTTTAGAGAGAGTGGTGTTATGGATTTGAATTTGTTATGGATTTATGGATTTTGTTATGGATTATGAATTTGTAATTAGTCATAATTCATTTTTTTATTAATGTGTTTGGCCATCCATTCATCTATCCACCCAGTTTCAAGAAATATTTCTTGAAACACCTATGTGCCTGACTTGTTCTAGAATAGAAGACACACACACACACATGCACACCACACACACACACACACACACAACACCTCTGGGAGCTCTTTACATTTCTAGAAGAAGCAGGTGAGCACACGGCGATCGCCACCACAGGGAGGCCCAGGAGAGAAGGCAGGATGGGTTGCCATCACGCTGGGAGGAATGATGCCGAGCCTAGGAGCCCGTGTGAGCCTTGGCAGGAAGAGAGAGAGGACCTGGGCAACGAGTGAGCTGAGAGGGCACAAGGGAGAGTCAAGTTCACACCCTCTGCTATCTCTGTGTGACCATCAGCAAGGCACTTAACCTCTGCATGTACTTCCTCAGCTGTGAAACGGAGACAGTAAGTGGTGCCCGCCTGCCAGGGCTGTTGCGAGCCTCAAATGAGTGAATGTATCCAGAACAGCGGTCGCCAACCTTTCGGACCTCACGGACCACCAGCGGTCCCAGAACCACCGGTTGGTGACCGCTGAAATGTTTAGCACGGGCCCTGGCTAATAGTAGATGTTCAGTCAGCACTAATTTCCATTTCCCTTTTTGTGGACTGATAGTTGGAGAAAATGATTTTTTTTTAAATTTTTTCTTTATTTATTTTGATTTTTTTTGCCCCCCTTTCTCCCTCCCATACATACCCTCCCTCCCCAGAGTTTTATGTCCATTGGTTGTACTTACATGCATGTATACCAGTCCTTCGATTGATCTGTTATCTCCCCCAGATCTCCCTCCCCTCCCCGCTGTAATTTGACAGTCTGCTTGTTGCTTTACTGTCTCTATATCTATCTTTTGGTACATCAGTTTATAATGTTCTTTATTATCCATAAATGAGTGAGGTCATGTGGTGTTTCTCTTTCATTGATTGGCTTATTTCACTAAGCATGATGCTTGGAGAAAATGATTTAAACCAGCCCCAATGCAAAGATATTTCAGCCTCCAACAGTATATTGTCCGCATAAGGGTCAGCTGCCGCTGCACCTCCTGCACCAGGAACTTGGGTGCTTGTGCCCGTGCCGGGCAGCATGGCTCCTGTTGGCACATACCTGAGAGGCTCCTGGAGGAGGTGCTGCCTCTGGGTGCACGTGCTGGAGGCCTGCTGGATGCCGGGGTGCCACGTGGCGGGAAGTTAGTTGGGGACTGGGTGGTGCCGTGCTGGGCTGGCCAAGTCCCTGTGGAGAGAGGGACGTTGGGTCACACTGTGGAAGAAGTACCAGGACGGGTCTGTCTGTCTCTTGGGCCAGGATCGTGGGGATTGGCGTTCTGACGGTGATCCTGGGACTTGTGCTGTTCCTCGGCTGCTGGTACTGCAGACGGCGAAATGGATACGGGAGCCTGAAGGTTGGTCAAGCTCCCGCTGCCGGGATCCACCCAGAGCCGCAGCCCCGCTTCCCCTTCTTCCTCTGAATTTCTGGGCCACGGGGCGACGTTCTCATGATCCCCTCTAGCTCTGATCCTCGGTCCTTTCTCTACATTGTACTTCTTACTACTCTTCCATGGCCTCTGCCCCGGCATCAACCCCAACCAGGAACTTGACCGCTCTTTGGTTCCGCCCGGAGCAAACGAGCGCTGGCCGTGCTGTTTCTCCGTGCATGGCGGGGGGCTCCTGCACGCCAACCCCTGGGGGTTCTTGCTGAAATGCAGGTTCTGGGGCCAGCTCTGGTGGCAAGACCCAGGAACCCCCATTTTTAATATGCACACCATGGTAGGTGAGAGAGCTGAGAAGCAAAGAAAAAGAACAAAAGCAATTATTGAGTAGAGTGAGATACATTAAATATTACTTTTCTGGGAGCTGGGGAAGAAAGCAGAGCCTCCTTGTGTGCTCATGTCATTGGGGCCCTTGGGGGTGGCTGCTTTAAGCCACTGCACGTTAGGGACGTTTGTTCTGTAGTGATAGACAGGTGACACACGGCCTTTGCCTTAATTTGCTGAGCTTTTATGTAGGATTTTCGCACACACTTTCCGAAGGAAGGTTAGATTATATTTTCTCTTCTCTTTCCACTGTCCTTGCTGTCTGCTTTTCATATCAACATTACACAACCCTTTAAAAAAGGAGCTGGCATGTGTTCCTTTTCCCCCCCACGTTTCTGAAAGCATCTGGGTAAGTCTGACATTATTATTTTTTCTTTAACGTTTGATTAAAAAGAGACAGCCCTGGCAGGCTTGGTTCAGGTGTTACGAGTCTTAGCCCCCACACCAGAAGGGCGTGGGTTCCATTCCCAGCCAAGGGCACACGTACCTGGCTTGCAGGTTCAATCCCTCCGGCAGGTCGGGGCTCTTTGAGGAGGCAATCCATGTGTTTCTCGCACATCGATGTTTCTCTCCCTCTCTTCCTCCCCGCTTCCTTCCACTCTCTAAAAATCAATGAGGGGCGCCGAAACCGGTTTGGCTCAGTGGTAGAGCATCAGTCTGTGGACTGAAAGGTCCCAGGTTCGATTCTGGTCAAGGGCATGTGCATTGGTTGCAGGCACATCCCCGGAAGGGGGTGTGCAAGAGGCAACTGGTCGATGTTTCTCTCTCATCGATGTTTCTAACTCTCTATCCGTCTCTCTTCCTCTCTATGAAAAATCAATAAAATATATTTTAAAAAATAAATAAAAATAAAAATCAATTAGGGGGAAAATGTCCTCATTCCTTAGGCTAGGATTAAAAAGAGAGAGACAAAATAATACATATAAAAAAGATTAGGGTCCTTGTTTAGGCTGGAGTGTAGGAAAAGTACTTTGCAGCCTGCAGACTGTACCAGTATCAGCCCCATTCATGTATGGCCTCGTCCAACTGATGCTCCTACTCCTCCTCCTCCCTGGGAAACCTGCCCGGATGCCTTTCTCCAGCAACCTGGCAGACAGACCCGGGTAGTCTGCCTCGGCCCAGGGAGGAGCCGCAGATCCCCTGCACACCCTCCCTGTCCCAGCCTCCCTCCGCCACAGAGCATGCTGCTAACACCACACTGGCTGGATCTGGCTCACAGAGAGGTTTAAAAATTGAATTAGGTGCTAACATTGAAAGTAACCTTTTATATAAAAATCTTGATATCTAGTTTCTCTTAAAAAAAGGAAAGATCAGCCGAGATCGGTTTGGCTCAGTGGATAGAGCGTTGGCCTGTGGACTGAAAGGTCCCGGGTTCGATTCCGGTCAAGGGCATGTACCTTGGTTGTGGGCACATCCCCAGTAGGGGGTGTGCAAGAGGCAGCTGATCAATGACTCTCTCTCATCGATGTTTCTAATTCTCTATCCCTTTCTCTTCCTCTCTGTAAAAAAAAAAAAAAAATCAATAAAATATAAAATAAAATTTAAAAAAATCAAAAGATCTGGGGAAAACTGGCCGCTCCTTCAGACGGGACATACACTTCCTCCTTTCCTATGGCCTCACCTGACCCCCTCCATTACCTGCCTGCTCCTATCCTGTATCTGAGGATGGCCGAGTTGCACTAGGCACAGAGGCAGTAAGGAGGTACATTGTCTGTGGAGCAGTGGTTCTTGGTGTGGTCCTGGCCCAGCAATATTTCCTGGGAACTTATTAGAAATGCAAATTCGTGGGCCTCACCCCAGGCTGCCTGAGTCAGAAATTCTGGGTGTGGGTCCAGCAATGTGTCTAGCAGGCCCTCCAGGGAATGCCGATGCACGCTCACGCTTGAGAACCATTGTTGTAGAGAATTTAACAATAATAAAAGCAAGTTAGTCTGTTTTTTATTATCACAAACTGCCAACAATATCCGTGATTAAAGACTCCACCTCACCAGGCTGGACCGCTCCTGCAGGCTCTACGTTAGTTTGTGTCTCTGTCTTGTACAAACTGTTTCCCTCCTATCTTAGGGGAGAGGAGCATCACCCTCTAACCCTGTGCAAAGCACTAAGCTTTTAGCCACCCTCCCCCCCCCCCCCCCCATAACTCAGGGCGCATCGCTGAGCCATAGACTGACTTGTCATCATTGTTGCAACGTGATTTGGCAGCCCAGGGCCACGGCCACAGGCACAGTGTTTCTATCACAGTACATGCGTGCAGTGTTTGAGATATTTTGCTGTCATTTTGCAAAAGGCAAAAACAGAATGTGTCCCTGCTGTCATGTGATCATATGCGTGTCCTCACTGTCATACCAGCAACTGCCTCACTAGTTCTGATCTATTCCATTTGCATTCTTTTTTTTTTAGAGAATATTTTATTTATTTTTAAATATATTTTATTGATTTTGTTCAGAGAGGATGGGAGAGAGATAGAGAATTAGAAACATTGATGAGAGAGAGTCATTGATTAGCTGCCTCTTGCACACCCCCTACTGGGGATATGCCCGAAACCAAGGTACATGCCCTTGACCGGAATCTTTCAGTTCCCAAGCCGACGCTCTATCCATTGAGCCAAACCAGTTTCAGCCTTTTTTTTTTTTTTTTTTTTTAATTCACTATTTTTCTCCTTCCCTTTAAAAAATAGTCATTGAGCACGGCCTGTGTGACTCAGTGGTTAAGCATCGACCTATGAACCGGGTTTGATTCCTGGTCAGGGCACATGGCTGAGTTGTGGGCTTGATCCCCAATGCGGGGATGTGTAAGAGGCAGCCTATCAATGATTCTATCTCATCATTGATGTTTCTATCTCTTTTTTTCTCCCTTCCTCTCTGAAATCAAGAAGAAATATTTTTACAAGTCATTGACAACTGGGTATCAGGCACTGTACTAGGTGCTTTGCCTTTAGTTAACTCCTGCAGCAGCTCTGAGAGGTAGACGGTGTTATTTTCATGTTACAGATGCAAAAACTGGAGTTCAGAGGGGAAACACAGTATATGGCACTACAAGGATGAAAACCCATTCTTAAAATGTCACCTGCTTTCTCATTTATTTAATGGGCTCAATTGTTTCTTCGCACGCACTGATCTTCATGAATTCACATTTCAGGGCAAAAGCTGTTACGTTGGTATTCAACGTGCCTTTCCAGGAAGATGTCCACGTGAGGGACTCGGTCACCAGGACAGTAAGCTGCCTTTTCTAGAGAACGATTACGAACCCGTGGTAGGTTGAGATCCTGCGTTGGTGTTGTCCTGTATGGCTGCTTTTAACTCAAATGAGTAAAATTATTCCTATTTAAAAAGCAGGGACAATGTGAAATGTATTTAATACTAATAGTAAATTTTATGTCTATTTTACCATAATGAAAAATAAGAAAGGTAAAAAACAAGGGAAGCACAGAAATGTTCTTGGACTGTGTTTTCTCATACCCCCGTTTTCCAGGTCAACAATGAGAGCTTTACATGTAGGATCCAGAGGAAGAACTTGGTTCTGGATACAATATCCTTTTGTCTTACGTTTTTAGTGTATTTGTCTATGTCCTGAACATAGATATACTTAAGGGAGAAAATAAAGGACCTGTTATTATTTGTACAAAGCTATGCTGCCCACTAGGGTACATACTAGCCACATGTAGCTGTTGAGCACTTAAAACACAGCAGTTTGGATTAAGATGCACTCTATCTACTACATACCAGATTTCAAAGACCTAGTATGAGGAAAGGACATAGATAACTCATTAATCATTTTTATATCGGTTATATGTTGAAATGATATTTTGATATATGGGGTTAAGTGAAATATATTAAGATTAATTTTACCTGCAGTAAAAATGCAATGTATTTAGTGCTTGCAAACAGGGTTCAATAATTATTAGTTAGGGCTTGGGACTTCTAATGACAAGGATATTCTATGTATATAAGGTATCCCCAAAAAACTATACACCCACTTTGAATAATTATAAAGGCAGTGTATATTAAAATACATTTTCAAAAGCTGAGCTATGAGCTACTGAAGTGTGTGCACAGCTTTAGGAGATGCCTAGTATGTAAGTTTTTGAGATTTTGGAAAAGCCCTTAGCCCTATTTTTCTCTGCTCTTGCCCCAACAAAGTTTCAACATACACGCTTGTGAAATTTAACTATGATTACCTTGTTGGATGGAAATTAGATGTGGACACTTAAAGGCTCAATCCAGAGGAAAAGTAGTTATGTTACCTAATGGCTGTCCCAGAAACATGCTCTATGGCCAACGCCCTTTTCTCCCTTTCTCCTCCTCCCAGGTTCCTAATGCCCCGCCCGCCTACGAGAAACTCTCCTCTCAGCAGTCCCCACCACCTTACTCTCCCTGAGAGAGGCTGACATGACTCGCCTCGCACTTCGGATTACACTGAATGTGGACGTTGAATGTTCTGCTTCGGGATGCTGTGGAAACGGTGTGCATCATCACTAACAACGAGCTCAGTGCTAAATTCTTACCGTGTTTCCCCGAAAATAAGACATCCTCCGTAAATAAGACCTAGAGCATGGAAAGATAAGACATCCCCTGAAAATAAGACCTAGCGCAACTTTGGGAGAAAAAATTAATATAAGACACTGTCTTATTTTCGGGGAAACAGGGTAGTAGGGAAACTAGCAACACTAACTGAGGAAATGATGAAACATGTTAAAATGGAAAAACGTTGTCAATAAACCTTTTGATGCATGATACTATCTGTGCCAGTAGTAATGCTGATACATTACGGTGTTATTTCTGGAGGGACAGAATGTAAATGTTCCGGGACCACTCAATTTCTTTTCAGTTGAAATTCGGCTAATAACTAACCAATTACTATGCTGATTCCTGAAGAAGCAACCTCTTGGCCAGAGGGAACTCCAGCAGGTGAGTCTGTGTTCCGGAGTGCTCACAAAGGATTCCTTCACAGGTTTAAGAACGAGAGCTAATGGACCTTCCAGATGACACAGGCGGCCTCGTCAGATCAGGAAGCTGTCCGCAACGTCTCTGTTTGCTGAACTTCCGAGATGCTGCAGCAATATACTGCAGAGGCCCTCTTTCCTAAGTAATACATAAACATGGTCCTACTCTCCTTTCGTTTCAGGGTTCAAAGTTATCATAATCAATGACAAGAATTTCCTGTTATTCCAGAAGGTGGTGTCAGAATTTAAATAAGTAAAAGCCACTGTAGTTTGGCTGATGTCTTACCTCCCTAAATGTCCCAATGGCAGTTTAGTTCCTGTGGGCTCCCAAATTCCTCTCAAAGGAGCATACTGAAGATCATAGACTCAGAGGTTCTGGAAGAGTGTTATTTGCTAGCAACACTACAATTTTTTGTTGTTGACACGTATACTATTATTTTATCTAATTTTTTTTCCAGCCAACTCATTAAAAAAAACTGTAGTAGGGTGGAATAGTATCTTTCTCCATAAGTAGAGGCTGACTATAAACATGAAGATAATTAAAGCAAATGATTTTTATTAAAACCTAGGAAGAGACTAATGGTTGCAGAAGGCTGTCAACCTAAGACCTGCTCTCTGTATTAATGAGGGAGATTAGCAAGAACCGGAGAAAAGCTTTTAACACAATGAAAAGATGTGCAGGAGAAAGAAATGACTTTCTCCCTGTGTGACTCAGTGCTACCTAGTGCTGAGTCACCAAACCACCTAAAATCGCCTGTTTCATCGAAAACACCAGTGAGCCTAACTGCATCATTTCAGCTAATAACTAACCAATTACTATGAGTCCAGATTGTGTGGAAGAGAACACCGAATAAAGAGACTCACTCCACACATTGAAAAAACGTCACTCGCCCGGCCAGCGTGGCTCAGTGGTTGAGCGTTGACCTATGAGCCAGGAGGTCACAGTTTGGTCCCCCGTCAGGGACATATGCCTGAGTTGTGGGCTGGATCCCCAGTGTGGAGTGTGCAGGAGGCAACAGATCAATGATCATCACTCATCATTGATATTTTTCTCTCTCCCTTCCTCTCTGAAATCAATACATATATTTTTAAAAAATTCATTTATATGTAAAAAAAAAAAAAGTCATTCAACAAAATACTAAAATACTTCCCTGCCTTTTCTGACTGTCCAGAAATAAAATAAGCCCTGTCCCATCCCTGTCATCCCCTCCCCCCACACCTTTCCACCAAATAAGTGAGTTCTAAACAAAGTAAATTCGCAGCTCCTTTCCTCATTGAAAGGCCTACTTTGAGTCCTAACCCTGCACATTCATAGAATAGCTTAGGGCTTGCTCCCTGGAGCCCTCCAAGATCTCCAGCCCATCCACCATCCCCTGAGCGTTCTCTCCTTTCCCTGTGGAAATGGCTTTTCCCAGAGTCCCTCAGTGTCCCAGGTGATGGGCAAGGGTGTTGAATTGTCTGCCAGAGAGAAACTAGAAGAGTGAGATTTTGTTTCAAGGAATAGATATGGGGTGCCAAAGGTCCTCCCCCCTACACAGAGGCAGCCACACTTTTGAAAACGACTCCTTGGATTGGGGACCAATTGTGGGGCAACCTTGGGAGCCAGGAGCTGAAGACTGCAAGGTCACACGATGGGAGGAGCCTGGGTCACACACAGACACCAGAAGAGTCTCCCTCCTCTAGGGATGCTTGGATTGAATGAGGTCAAATTGGCTCCACAGAAAATCCATGAACTGTTACGGCTTTGCCAAATCTGACACTGAAATCCAGGGCTGTTAATACGGTTGTTGAGGCCCTTCTCTGCTCTGCCCCTGCACACCTGGGTGGAACACACACAAATGAGGGCTAGAGGGGTGCCTCCCGGGGAGCTAGATCCCTGTGACGGCTGCAGGCAGGATCAGGCTTCCCCGCTGCCCCAGGAAACTTGAACACAGGAGCATGAGCCTCACCCAGGGCCCTGCGCACAGGTGTCCTCTGCTGCAGTGTGCCTTCCCCGTCTCCCCCCCCCCCCCCCCCCCCACAGTACATTGTGGGCCGAGGGTAATGGCATGATCTCCTAGGTTTCCTGCAGGACCAGGTCAGGACTAGAGCAGTCAGAGCTCATAGATGATCTCCTCTGGCTGCAACCCTTGTTTTCTGTGTCCACATGCGCTGGGTAAATAATATCCCTTTCCATTTGTGCAGCGATTCTGTTTATAGAACCTGGTCTTCCCTCCTTCTCCTGGCCCCCCATCAGCCCTCAGGTGTTGTCTGATGCTTGATTCAAGGCCCAAGTCTCTGGGTTTTCCCTATAAGATTCTGATATGGACTCTGATTGTGAAGAGAGTAAAGAGCAGGCAAACTTAGGAAGGGAAAAAGAGCTAGCCAAAATATTCTCTGCCTACGTTAAAGTCAGTGAGAAGCTGGCAAATCAATGAAGCCCCATGTCCCCTCTTGTGGAGAGCAGTCCTCTGCTGTTTTGGTAGCACTTATAAATCTGATAGATCTAGTTATCACTTGAGAATATTACAGAACTTTTCAAAAAAAAGGACAAAAAACAGGGAACCCCCTAAACTTTTATTTCATGGCTTTAAGGACTGACAGTGTCATCTGAAAATGCATCCAAATTCCTTTATCTTAGGTGACTGATGACAAATCATCATAAAATCATCTCTGAGGAATGCAGAGCAAGTCTGGAGGGAAATCATGGATGGCTTGGATAAAAGCACTCATTTTGAAGAATGCCCAAAACTACTACCCCAAGAAGCTGTAAGATGAAAGAAAGTGTGGGAAATGAAGGAACAGAAAAACAAAACAAAAAACTAACAACTTTAAAACACCAATGAAAGAGGCATTAAATGATAAAGAAAGCCCATTAAAATCTCTGAAAAGGCAATGAAGATAGGTCTGCCTGCTTTCTTCAGAAATGATTACATGGTTGATGGCTATCTGAAATCAGAGAACATTAAACAAGAGAACCCCTCCACTGTCAATGAGACATCAATTTGAAGGATTATACCAATCCTGTCAAGTGTTTCTTTAAAAAGACTTGAAGGAGAAAGGTTAGGGACTAGTTAAAAATATAAGTGAAGAAGTTATTAACAAATCACTTACAGTTCAAATGAATGGTGTCCAAACTGAGCAAACATCTTTGCAGTCTGAAAACAATTTGAAAGTGAGACTCAAAAACTTCAAATACTACTTGTAGGACTAGTCTACAACATGTGCAATGCAGATTTGAAAAAAAAAAAAAATCAATGGAGGAATTTACTGTTTAGCAATACTTCCCGAAGTATCCAAAAAGAGTCCCAAGCAGGGCCTGAGCCGGGAGGATCCTGAAACCGAATTATGTGCTTTTGATCAGAATCAAATCCAAGACCTTTTCGGTCCAAAGGCCAATGCTCTATCCACTGAGCCAAATCAGCAAGGGCTGGCATTACATAAGTGCATACAAGTACTTTTATTACAGTTGTGAAGGAGTGATCTGTCCTTCTCGATCTATGGCCTCAATCTGTAACTGCAATATCATGATGCTGCCTGGGGTATGGTAAAGAGAGGAAGTTATGTAGTATGCGATGAGAACCTATAATGAACATTAAGTCAAAAAAAATTTTGGGAAGACCTTGAGGTGTCTCAAACTTTCTAGGACCAAAACCCAAACCAAACCAATCAAACAAACAAAAAAACTAGAGTACACTGAGGAAGGAGAGGACTGAAATGAAGTTGGAAGGTAAGCAGAAACTTAAAAGACGGTGGAGTCTTTTAAGTCCTGAGGAGGAGGAGAGCACTTCACTCTAAAAGGCTCAACAGACCACACAGAGCTTCAAAGGTCATTATCAGAATTTTGAATTTAGGATAGAAAAGAATTAGTGGTTAAAAAATTATTTAGGTCTCTCATGAGATTAAAATTGGACCAATAGGTAATTCAGTTATTTCCGAAAGTGGCTTAGATAATTCTTTTCAACAAAAGAAACAGTTTTGGGTGGTTTTACTTTAAAAGTTAAGTACATAGCCCTGGCCGGTGTGGCTCAGTTGGTTGAGTGTTGTCTCATGTGCCGAAAGGTTGCTGATTCCAATCCAAGTTAGGGCACATACCCAGGTTGTGGGTTTAGTTCTTGGACAGGAGACAATTGATTGACGTTTCTTTTCACACTGGTGTTTCTCTCCCTCTCTCGTCCTCTATAAAATTAAAAAAAAAATTTAATAAAGTTAAATACATTCGAGGACCACCTATGTATAATGTAATGCATTTCAACATCACCCACTTCCCCCTGAAATCCATGGTTTTTCTAAACTGACAGGGAAAGGGAAAGGTGACTACAGAGTTGAACATAGACATGATTGGTAAATGTGCTCTAAGAACACAAATACAGGTTTTTGAGAACCTTTAGCAACTTTACAGGAATATCTATCCTCACTGCCCACTTTGATAAGTACTAAATTTCAGTGCAGTTTC